TTGTTCCTACAAGTCTGATACAGTCATGATATCACAATATTGTACAAGTTGTTTAAACAGCTTGTAACAATCTTGTTGATATTATCAGACTTGTAGCAAGGTTGTTCCAACAAGTCCGATACAGTCATGATATAACAATATTCTAAAGTAGTTTAAACAGCTTGTAACAAGCTTGTTGATATTATCCGACTTGTAGCAAGATTGTTCCAACAAGTCTGATGCAGTTATGATATAGCAATATTGTACAAGTTGTTTAAACGGCTTGTAACAAGCTTGTTGATATTATCCGACTTGTAGCAAGGTTGTTCCAACAAGTCTGATACAGTCATGTTATAACAATATCGTACAAGTTGTTTAAACAGCTTGTAACAAGCTTGTTGATATTGTCAGACTTGTAGCAAGGTTGTTCCAACAAGTCTGATACAGTCATGATATCACAATATTGTACAAGTTGTTTAAACAGCTTGTAAGAAAACTTGTTGATATTATCAGACTTGTAGCAAGGTTGTTCCAACAAGTCTGATACAGTCATGATATCGCAATATTGTACAAGTTGTTTAAACAGCTTGTAACAAGCTTGTTGATATTATCAGACTTGTAGCAAGGTTGTTCCGACAAGTCTGATACAGTCATGATATCGCAATATTGTACAAGTTGTTTAAACAGCTTGTAACAAGCTTGTTGATATTATCAGACTTTTAGCAAGGTTGTTCCAACAAGTCTGATGCAGTTATGATATAGCAATATTGTACAAGTTGTTTAAACAGCTTGTAACAAGCTTGTTGATATTATCAGACTTGTAGCAAGGTTGTTCCAACAAGTCTGATGCAGTTATGATATAGCAATATTGTACAAGTTGTTTAAACAGCTTGTAACAAGCTTGTTGATATTATCCGACTTGTGGCAAGGTTGTTCGTACAGGTCTGATACAGTCATGATATCACAATATTGTACAAGTTGTTTAAACAGCTTGTAACAAGCTTCTTGATATTATCAGACTTGTAGCAAGGTTGTTCCAACAAGTCTGATGCAGTTATGATATCACAATATTGTACAAGTTGTTTAAACAGCTTGTAACAAGCTTGTTGATATTATCCGACTTGTAGCAAGGTTGTTCCAACAAGTTCGATACAGTCATGATATAACAATATTGTACAAGTTGTTTAAACAGCTTGTAACAAGCTTGTTGATATTATCAGACTTGTAGCAAGGTTGTTCTAACAAGTTCGATACAGTCATGATATAACAATATTGTACAAGTTGTTTAAACGGCTTGTAACAAGCTTGTTGATATTATCAGACTTGTAGCAAGGTTGTTCCAACAAATCTGATACAGTCATGATATCTCAATATTGTACAAGTTGTTTAAACAGCTTGCAACAAGCTTGTTGATATTATCAGACTTGTAGCAAGGTTGTTCCAACAAATCTGATACAGTCATGATATCACAATATTGTACAAGTTGTTTAAACAGCTTGTAACAAGCTTGTTGATATTATCAGACTTGTAGCAAGGTTGTTCCAACAAATCTGATACAGTCATGATATCTCAATATTGTACAAGTTGTTTAATTAAACAGCTGGTAACAAGCTTGTTGATATTATCAGACTTGTAGCAAGGTTGTTCCTACAAGTCTGATACAGTCATGATATCACAATATTGTGCAAGTTGTTAACAGCGTCTAACAAGCTTGTTGATATTATCAGACTTATAGCAAGGTTGTTCCAACAATTCTGATGCAGTTTTGATATAGCAATATTGTACAAGTTGTTTAAACAGCTTGTAACAAGCTTGTTGATATTATCAGACTTGTAGCAAGGTTGTTCCAACAAGTCTGATACAGTCATGATATAACAATATTGTACAAGTTTTTTAAACAGCTTGTAACAAGCTTGTTGATATTATCAGACTTGTAGCAAGGTTGTTCCAACAAGTCTGATACAGTCATGATATCACAATATTGTACAAGTTGTTTAAACAGCTTGTAACAAGCTTGTTGATATTATCAGACTTGTAGCAAGGTTGTTCCAACAAGTTCGATACAGTCATGATATAACAATATTGTACACAAGTTGTTAACAACTTCTAACAAGCTTGTTGATATTTTCAGACTTGTAGCAAGGTGTTTCCAACAAGTCCGATACAGTCATGATATAACAATATTGTATACAAGTTGTTAACAGCTTGTAACAAGCTTGTTGATATTATCAGACTTGTAGCAAGGTTGTTCCAACAAGTTCGATACAGTCCTAATATAACAATATTGTATACAAGTTGTTAACAGCTTGTAACAAGCTTCTTGAGATTATCAGATTTTTTGCAAGGTTGTTCCAACAAGTCCGATACAGTCATGATATAACAATATTCTAAAGTTGTTTAAACAGCTGGTAACAAGCTTGTTGATATTATCAGACTTGTAGCAAGGTTGTTCCAACAAGTTCGATACAGTCCTAATATAACAATATTGTATACAAGTTGTTAACAGCTTGTAACAAGCTTGTTGATATTATCCGACTTGTAGCAAGGTTGTTCCAACAAGTCCGATACAGTCATGATATAACAATATTGTACAAGTTATTTAAACAGCTTGTAAGAAGCTTGTTGATTTTATCAGACTTGTTGCAAGGTTGTTCCAACAAGTTCGATACAGTCATGATATAACAATATTGTACAAGTTGTTTAAACAGCTTGTAACAAGCTTGTTGATATTATCCGACTTGTAGCAAGGTTGTTCCAACAAGTCTGATACAGTCATGATATCACAATATTGTACACAAGTTGTTAAGAGCTTGTAACAAGCTTGTTTATATTATCAGACTTGTAGCAAGGTTGTTCCAACAAGTCTGATACAGTCATGATATCACAATATTGTACAAGTGGTTTAAACAGCTTGTAAGAAGCTTGTTGATATTATCAGACTTGTAGCAAGGTTGTTCCAACAAGTCTGATACAGTCATGATATCACAATATTGTACAAGTTGTTTAAACAGCTTGTAACAAGCTTGTTGATATTATCAGACTTGTAGCAAGGTTGTTCCAACAAATCTGATACAGTCATGATATCTCAATATTGTACAAGTTGTTTAAACAGCTTGCAACAAGCTTGTTGATATTATCAGACTTGTAGCAAGGTTGTTCCAACAAATCTGATACAGTCATGATATCACAATATTGTACAAGTTGTTTAAACAGCTTGTAACAAGCTTGTTGATATTATCAGACTTGTAGCAAGGTTGTTCCAACAAGTCCGATACAGTTATGATATAACAATATTGTACAAGTTGTTTAAACAGCTTGTAACAAGCTTGTTGATATTATCCGACTTGTAGCAAGGTTGTTCCAACAAGTCCGATACAGTTATGATATAACAATATTGTACAAGTTGTTTAAACAGCTTGTAACAAGCTTGTTGATATTATCAGACTTGTAGCAAGGTTGTTCCATCAAGTCTGATACAGTCATGATATAACAATATTGTGCAAGTTATTTAAACAGCTTATAACAAGCTTGTTGATATTATCAAACTTGTAGCAAGGTTGTTCTAACAAGTGCGATACAGTCATAATATAAATCAAGATATATATATATATATATATATATATATATATATATATATATATATATATATATATATATATATATATATATATATATATATATATATATATGTATAGTCAATATTGTTGCAATATTGTATCCTTTAACCTTGCAATATTCTTGTTATGTCATGTGTAACAAGTCTGATAATGCCATCAAGCTTGTTACAAGTTGTTAACAGCTTGTTCTAAACTTTTTACAACAACTGGGAACAAGCAGTGCGAACACAACTTGTCGACAGCTTGTGAACAGATTTGTATCAACTTGTTTGCAGACCTGGAACAACTTGTTCGTTTTTACGTATGTAGTTATTTATGTTCTAATTATATAAAGTAAGTGTTGAAGGGATTTAATGTCAATTATATAAACGCTCTTTGTAGTCTCTTATAGTCTGCGCATGCGTCAACCTTACCTGTAATAGTATTGCGAACTTGATGAGAAGCTGTTCCGAACGTTTCCGAAGGCTCAAAATGGCAGTAAAAAGGAGTGACTTTATTGTGCGTCTTTACAGCCAGATTTCGAGCGCAAAAATAAACATGTCATTCTAAAAACTAGAAATAAATACAGCCAGAAGATTCAAGAAATTGTATTGTACAAGAACATGAACTAAAGGTGATTGTTGACAAATGTATCGTCTGAAACATTTTGTTTATCAACTAAGCAATGACAATTTCCGAATTTTCGTTTGAGATACATTTCTTTAAAAAAAACTGTGTCGCCAAATATAAAAAAATTTCGTGTTCACAATAATTAAACTTTAGGATTTATTCTACAATTTGAGTGGGTTAAGAAGCTTAACTTTTCGAGAGTTTTCTTAACTTTTTAGTTTGAATTTTTGTTTTGAATAATTTTGCAAAAATTTTCGAAGTCGTGTCCGTTAAAAACAACATTTTTTTACATGAATTATATTTCATTCCATACTTTAAATGCTAGGACGTTTTCAATTAGTGTCTAGTCTACCCATTTACTATATTTTCTCGTTTGTTTTACTAATTTTTGACCAATTAATAAGCATGTTTTTGTTTTAGAAATTGATATTCAAATTCCCCGCCAAATTTTCATAATTTGGTGCATGCGCAGACGTTTTTCCACGGTGTTGGGGGACTGGTTTAAAAACTGTGTTTGTATCAATTTGTGGTAATCTTCAACACACTTGATAAAACCTAAGATTTTTAAAGTTTTTTGCTTCCTTACACGAGCGCGATGATGCAAAATGCCGGCAAATTAGTTAAGCTATTACCGAACCTCGTTGATGAAAAGGATGTTATAGGGCCAGGGCTAAGCATTTCCCAGAAGGGTGTACTTTTCTCAATGACATACTTTCCTTTCGAACATTCTCCAAAACACTTCCACAACAAGAATTTGGAAAGCGCTTTGTAAACTTGTATTTTTATATATTTCAGTCGAGTTGCCGTCCTTGCCGTGCGACTACTTTACGTTGTCGTTTTGGCTACAGATATGCTGTAAGTATGTAGATGTGTAGATTTCTTTTTTCAGGTAGTTCAGACACAAACCACGACAGCTTATTGTAGAATACTACCTACACTGGACCACCACATTTGAGATATCTTTTTCAGGTAGTTCAGACACAAACCACGACAGCTTATTGTAGAATACTACCTACACTGGACCACCACATTTGAGATATCTTTTTCAGGTAGTTCAGACACAAACCACAACAGCTTATTGTAGAATACTACCTACACTGGACCACCACGTTTGAGATATCTTTTCAGGTAGTTCAGACACAAACCACGACAGCTTATTGTAGAATACTACCTACACTGGACCACCACGTTTGAGATATCTTTTTCAGGTAGTTCAGACACAAACCACGACAGCTTATTGTAGAATACTACCTACACTGGACCACCACGTTTGAGATATCTTTTTCAGGTAGTTCAGACATAAACCACGGAAGCTTATTATAGAATACTACCTACACTGAACCACCACGTTTTTCAATTTTACTTTAGGGAAAAGAGGACTGCTTCTATACGGCCTTTGGCTCGCGTTTCATTGGCTGTAAAGCTGTTTGCGTAAGACCAATTAAGGTATAGTAAAGGCACACTATGTTACAACAACGTTTTTGTGAAGTACTGAACTTTGGGGGAAAACTACATGCGTATTAAGATTAATCCTGGTTTCCATATGATCGCAATGTTCGTAAAAATAGAGTCACAATCTTTCTCAACGGCCAGTTTAGAATAGTTTATACCTGTAAATCACATATAAATCATAAGTATTCTCTAGTTCTAATCACTCCGCGTATTTTCAGTTCTAAAATGTTGTATTTCGGCTGATGAGAAAGATCGTGACTCAATCTTTTACTCCAGCGAATTAAATTATGTACAGTATCATTCATAAATTATACAATGGGCTAATTATGCATTCAATTTGCTCTGCCCGGGAAAGCGAGACAAACTTTTGCCAATTGACCTATTCCCTAATGAACAAAATTTTGATTTCAAACATGTCTAAACAAAAATTTCACCACAGCTTCAAAGAGCATCACAAGATTAGTAATATTCTGAAGTTTCGTTGCGAAATGTTGTAAAATGCGGATAATTTTGCCCTACGAATTTTGCCGTTTTTCATTCTTTTTGTGTTACGCGCGGGAAATTGATACCTTTTTTTCAGAAAGCGGTACCAATTTCCCGTGCGTAATACAGAATGACTGAAAAACGGCAAACTTCGCAGGGCTATATTATCCGCATTTTACAACATTTCGCAACGAAACTTTGGAATATTACTAATTTTGTGATGCTCTTTCAAGCTGTGATGAAATTTTTATCTAGACTTGTTGAGATCAAAATTTTGGTTATTATTAGGTAACAGGTCCATTTCTGTTCCAATTTCCATCCAAATTTAACCAAAAATTAGTCGATATGTCCTTGGGTAATGCCGGTTACTTCCACAGATTTTCGTATTGATACGTTTGGTATTTTTCAAGTTACCTCGCTGACAGGCAAACACACTAAATGTCAATATGGGTTATTTTCAGATTCGACAATGCTGTCCTGGATTTTATGGCACATTTTGTACCGGTAATGTAAATTGAGGCGTTTATTTAACTGTAAATTTTCTTAATTGTCTTACACAATTGGTGGCAACATTTTCAGTGTACATGTGAACGTTTCAGTGTCGCAGGCGTCAGAACAAGCGCCGGCTTTCACCTCTGAGATCGTGGGGTCGATTCTCGCTACGGACTCATGTGAAAAAAGTCAGTCAATGTTCTGTCGAAAGTCGTGGGTTTTCTCCGGGCGCCCCAGTTTCCTCCCACAGGGCAAGTTGACAGGGTCGATAACTTGGCGGTTATCTTTGAAGCCAAATTGAAGGCCGCCATGTACGTATGGAGTGGAAAATACGCCACCAAAAAGATGTCTGTTTTCGACCACTAAATAGCTGTATTTCAACAAGGAAAAAAGCTAAAAACTTTCAACAATACCTGAAATTTAATACAAAACATGTTTCCAGAACGTAGAGCAGTTATAAAGTTCTTTTTTCAGGAGTCAAAGTGCGAAGTTTTTTCGGCACGTTCAAACTTGTGTAATATTTTGAATATCAAGCTGTTACCCAGGAAGTTTTTGCTGTTAGTGGATGTAAAATACTTAGAACTATCCAGGAAACCAGGTTTGAATCTTTAAAGTTGAAGCCTTTTGATAAAAAAGTACTTTTTCTTGCTGATTTTCGCTCAAAAGTCAAAAACAAACTTTTGACTGAATTTCCCGCTCCTCGAAACTCTCCCCAGTCCTTTTGAAAGTTAATTTATTGCTGGCCGTGATCGCGAGAAGCGCCATTTTGGCTTCAGGCAAGTATGGGCATGTTTATCTGCAGTTAGCGTTCCAGTGTTATTACAGTTCACTGGGATAAACACAGTTAAGAAAGTAAGGGACTGGTCATAAAGTAACTGCTAGGGTGGGCTGGAGGTAAATCACAAATTTTGCCAATAAGTTTAGTGACCCATCTTAGGATGTAGATAAAAATTTCAAAGCCCATCCAATCTTACCAAATTTATTTCATGACCCACCCACCCAATCTAAATTGGGAAAATACAATTTTATAATAGAAAAAAACTTGCAGGTATGAACATTGTAAATATACACCGGCACTGTATTGACTTACATAATTCCACCAAGCTTGACCAACACATTCATCACCAATTACGATACAGAGCTGCTCTCTAGTTGGTTGTATTTGCTGTGATTCGACCACTTCTTGTTGTTGTATAAAACAAAATACTGGCTTCAATAGCATCATTTGCACTTTGATGATTTGGATAGTTTGGTTTACTTTTATTATTAATATCTTTATGTAACATATAATTAACATGGGTTTTTTGTTTTGTGACCCAACCGTGGACATACCAAAAAATTGGCGGCCCATCGAAACTGCCCAAAGATTTTCCATGGCCCATTCCAAATTACTCCAGCCCACCCTAGCATTTGATCATATCCATGCGCATAAATTTGCACTATAGAACTGCTTATCGTAGTCGTAAATCTTCAAAGCTGGGTTTGATGGATAATCCAAGTGAGCACATACATAGAGGATAGTACACGGCGGCGCGAAGATATGACTTTTATCTTCGAGTGGTGAAAACTATATTTTACGAACGAGCGCAGTGAGTGAGTAAAATATTGTTTTTAACACGAGAAGATAAAAGTCATATCTTCAAGCCACTGTGAGATGTCTGTTCATTATATAGTCCGAAGCAAAAAATTGTGAAATTTCACGCTCAAAAGCAAATTGAAAAAAGTCACGTGATCGATATCTTCACTAGTGAAAATATGGAAAATATCTCACTGTGTATTTTTGTATGTCGAGATCTAACCAACTGAGCTACAGAGAGACAGTTGTCAAGCTCTAACCAACTGAGCTACAGAGAGACAGTTGTCGAGCTCTAACCAACTGAGCTACAGAGAGACAGTTGTCGAGCTCTAATCAACTGAGCTACAGAGAGACAGTTGTCGAGCTCTAACCAACTGAGTTACAGAGAGACAGTTGTCGAGCTCTAACCAACTGAGCTACAGAGAGACAGTTGTTGAGCTCTAACCAACTGAGCTACAGAGAGACAGTTGTCGAGCTCTAACCAACTGAGCTACAGAGAGACAGTTGTCGAGCTCTAACCAACTGAGCTACAGAGAGACAGTTGTCGAGCTCTAACCAACTGAGCTACAGAGAGACAGTTGTCGAGCTCTAACCAACTCAGCTACAGAGAGACAGTTGTCGAGCTCTAACCAACTCAGTTACAGAGAGACAGTTGTCGAGCTCTAACCAACTCAGCTACAGAGAGACAGTTGTCGAGCTCTAACCAACTCAGCTACAGAGAGACAGTTGTCGAGCTCTAACCAACTCAGCTACAGAGAGACAGTTGTCGAGCTCTAACCAACTCAGCTACAGAGAGACAGTTGTCGAGCTCTAACCAACTTTCGCAACCGTTCCTGGTCAGGTCTGGAATTGTGTATGTATACTTGGGTTATCCACCAGAACCAGCATCGACTTCCTTCTATTAACCGTGCTTCCACGTTTGAGATATCATTCTTTAAATAATCTAGCATGTCCTGGAGAGAACGGCAAAGCATGTTTTGCAAATGGTAAGTGCCATGATTCCAGATCAGGAAGCGGAAGTTGTCACTGTAATGGATCGTTTTATGGAACGGCGTGTGAAAGATGCAAACCTGGACACTATGGCCCAACTTGCAAAAGTAAGTTCCTGTTACGTATTGGAGCATAGCCTATATTGCTGTGAAACCGTCACCGTCACGTGTGTATTGTCATAGGCGTACGGGACGGGGGGGCAGCTCCCCCCCCCAAAAAAAAAAAAAAATTACAAAGTCGAAAAGTCGGGCAAATGTTCAACAAAAGTCGGGCAAAAAGTAGGCAAAGCAATAAAATCTCTCTTAATAATAACCCCAGTTTGTTGGGCAAACAAAGCCAGTTGGGCAATATTCGCTTCACAGTCGGGCAATATTGGGTTGTTATAAAAATAATTGGGACAAATTCTGCCAATTTAGTGGGAAATTATGTAAATTTTGTGATGTTCGGGAAAATTTGTTTGATGTTCCGAAAAATTTTGGTATGTCCGAAAAAATTTTGGAGGGGGGGGGGTCGCCAAAATTCATTGTTCAGGAAAAAAAAAATTTTTGGCACTGGTCGGGCACAATTTGAAAAAGTCGGGGAAATTTCGTTCTGCCTCCCCCCCTAATTTTTTCCTTCCCGTACGCCTATGTGTATTGTATATTTGCCCAATGTTTTAGGAAAGTTACCTATCCGTGACTCGAACAATAGGGTAAATTGGAAATGGCTATTGGTGGATTTGGCAAAATATACAATACACACGTGACGGTGAAAGGACCATATTTATTAATAAACGTTGACTAACATCGATAATTAGTTATGTTGTTATTCTAATGAGTTTCACAGCCATCTCCCCTTCGATATAGGCTCTCGTATGACCGAGGCATAAGTGTTGAGAACACTGTCGTGGAAATTCTCGCTCGTCAACTCTCATTTTTTGATCGGCACGGATACGGGGTTTGAGCTGGCCACTGCTGTAGTGCCCAGGTTCCATAGTTGCCCAGGACATAGTTGCCCAGGTTCTGGTGTTGGAGAAAAGTTTTTGCATATATTAGAATAACTGACATAGAACAATACAATTTGAAAGGTGAAACAACAGAATAAACTAACCGCATACTTTATTTGCTGCGGGTAAAATCATAGTTTTAATTTTGCTGGATTTCTCGCTTTAGGATACATTTTTGCATTTAAAACTGTACGGATTTTTATAAAGAACGCTATCAATACTGTATTTTTTGTTTTTCTAAAAATGATAAATGTTGGAAGTTTTGGATGGAAAGCCACCTTAAGTTAGCAATATATGATTCTGTACAATGCATGCCAATGATGTCACAACGTACGAACTTTATACATTATACAATCTGTTTTCTGTGTAGGATTCCTGACAGCTCTGCTGATAAAAAATTTTAAACCATTAGAATTGATAGTTATACCTGTACATTACTGACAACAACGCTATAATCGACATGCACCATTGATTATCTTAGAAAAATATCTAAGCCATCCACGTATGTATCTAATGACACAACTCGGGACTCTTCATTCGTTTCATCAAGTGACGCATGTTCTGAAATATTCGCATAACTTAGAGCCTTTAAACGGTCACCAAAACCCCCTTGGGATACGTACATGTTCGCCGCCCCCTCCCCCCTATAGTTCGTCAATTGTCGGCCACTAATCAATACTTTTATAAAAAATACAAATCACCATATTTTTAGAATGTTCTTGCTATGGTAACACGACTTGTGATCAGAAAAATGGTTTCTGTCGTTGCCCACCTGACAGGAAAGGTCTGACGTGCAATAAAACAGGTAGGTTCGATTTTGCCTTAACCATAAGCAATGACGTTTTGAAACCTTACATAACGCAAATTATCGATTATATTTACCCCATAACCTAAACATAGCAGTACCCTAGTATATATATATACATGAACTTGTGGTTAGAGCTCGACAACTGGCCTCTGTAGCTCAGTTGGTTAGAGCACTGCACCGGGATTGCAGGGCCGCAGGTTTGATTCCTTCCCAGTGGCGCCGTGGGTCCCATGTTTGTTTGGGGGTTTTTTGGGGGGGGGCAAGGGCAGTACTTTTCCGACAAACCGAAAAATTTTTCCGACAAACCGAAAACTTTTTTCGCCAACCAAAAATTTTTCCGGACGGCAACATTTCAAATCCGCCCCCCCCCCCGTCGACAACTTTGACAATTTCCGATAACATTGACAATTTTCCGACGGGTCTTAACAATAGGAGCGGGGGGCATGCCGGCCACGGCGCCACTTTCCCTGCCAGGGAAATGTATATAAATAAATGTATATAAATTTCCAATCGATAATTTCCATCTACAAGACCCTTCAACACTACAGTTTAAGTTCGATAATATGACAAAATCTCCAAAATGCCTGGAAATGCCATTTCATAAGGTCTAGTTTAGATTTAATGGGAAATGAATATAAATTTTTATTTTTTCATTTGAAAGAAATTTTGAAACTATATTTTGATGCCATCAAAGATATATTTCGATTGGCTGAAATATAATTGGTCATGAGATGTGCACGTGTACGCTTTGCCAATACAAAGATGACCTTTGATACAAATGACAGCTGCGGGTCTGTGACCTTTGTACCGCACGCAAAATATTCAAATCGATTGTCATATAAATTAGACTAAATTTGTGGACAGCATTGCCCATTAACTTAAATTTATAATATATATAAATTAGCTTAATGAGATGTCCGCCATCTTGGATAGTAGTCTTGATGACGTGTTAACCATATAAAAGTATTTGTTGCTGAACATTTGGTAGATGTTTTAAAGGTTACAAGCGATCTTGATATTTCGAAGGGCAGACAGGGTATAGTTTTGATGATTAGTGGTTGTCTAGATAAAAATATTGCGTGACCCTTTTTGTGACGTGACATATTTACAAAAAAATAAAAATGGCGGGCATTTCATTCCTTTCGATCAAAATGTTTGTAGAAGTAAGCAAGATATGAAAAAACTGGTAAAAGAGTTTTATATATGGTCTTAAAGTTCTTTCAAATGAGAAATTAAAAAAAATTATTGCCATTTCCCTTTAAAAATCCTTACGGGTAGACTCCCTCGCGGATTCCCTACAATTGAGCTGAGTTTTTCTTTTGTTTTTTTTGTTAAATTAATTTTTAGCGACGTACGATAAATGTAGCCATGGCAATGTGACTTTTCAATGTCATCAACATGCAAGGTAAACGGTTTAGTTGCTTTTACGTGGAGGAAGGCGTTTTTACTGTCCATTTACATGCGTATTTAAACATGTTTTAATAGCTGTTTCCAGAATGGAACAATAAATGCAACATGCAAATGTGATTACGGTTTTGAAGGAAATGGAACAAACTGCGAACGTGAGTATTAAAGGAATATTTTTAAAACACAAGTACGAGAAAGTTTGTGTTAGAAGCATATGCTTAGAATAGCAATAGTACAATCCAGTCACGTTCAATTGTCTTTTCACTGTTTTGGAAATCTTACTGTTCTCTATGCCATCCAGTCACGATTCAGTGATTAGATTATGTTTCATTGTCTTTTCATTGTTTTGAAAATCCCACTGTTCTCCATACCATCCAGTCACGATCCAACTGTGATTAGAATGTTGCATTGTCTTTTCATGTCTTTTCATTGTTTTGAAAATCTCACTGTTCTCATACCATCCAGTCACGATCCAGTGATTAGAATGTTCCATTGTCTTTTCATTGTTTTGAAAATCCCACTGTTCTCCATGCCATCCAGTCATGATCCAGTGATCAGAATGTTCCATCATTGTCTTTTCATTGTTTTGAAAATCCCACTGTTCTCCATGTTATCCAGTCACGATCCAGTGATTAGAATGTTCCATTGTCTTTTCATTGGTTTGAAAATACCACTGTTCTCCATGCCATCCAGTCATGATCCAGTGATCAGAATGTTCCATTGTCTTTCCATTGTTTTGAAAATTCTACTGTTCTCCATGTCATCCAGTCACGATCCAGTGATCTGAATGTTCCATTGTCTTTTCATTGTTTTGAAAATCCCACTGTTCTCCATACCATCCAGTCATGATCCAGTGATCAGAATGTTTCATTGTCTTTTCATTGTTTTGAAAATCCCACTGTTCTCCATACCATCCAGTCATGATCCAGTGATCAGAATGTTCCATTGTCTTTTCATTGTTTTGAAAATCCCACTGTTCTCCATACCATCCAGTCATGATACAGTGATCAGAATGTTCCATTGTCTTTTCATTGTTTTGAAAATCTCACTGTTTTCCATGTCATCCAGTCATGATCCAGTGATCAGAATGTTCCATTGTCTTTTCATTGTTTTGAAAATCTCACTGTTCTCCATGTCATCCAGTCATGATCCAGTGATCAGAATGTTCCATTGTCTTTTCATTGTTTTGAAAATCTCACTGTTCTCCATGTCATCCAGTCATGATCCAGTGATCAGAATGTTCCATTGTCTTTCCATTGTTTTGAAAATTTTACTGTTCTCCATGTCATCCAGTTACTTGTTGTTTTGACATATATTGCTATTTGTGGGAGGACCACAGACCTCGTTCAATTTTATTTTAAATAAGGTACCAACATGTGCAAAGGCAACGGAGGATGTTCACCGCACGCTGACTGTAAATACGACGGAATTCTTAATAGAACCTGTACGTGCAAGATTAATTATGAAGGTGATGGGTTTTGGTGTCGAGGTGCGTATGAAACTAATTATTGTTATTTTCTGCCCAATAGTCGTAACCGGCTAAAACGTGCGTGTTATTTCATTTGCCATGCAATGGACCATTTGCATTATAGACTAAATTTTGATCTAGACAAAAATTTCATCACAGCGTGAAAGAGCATCACAAAATTAGTAATATTCCAAAGTTTCGTTGCGAAATGTTGTAAAATGCGGATAATATAGCCATGCGAAGTTTGCCGTTTTTCAGTCATTTTGTATTACGCACGGGAAATCGACAGCCCAATCGGGTGTTGGGGCAACAATTTTCCGTTTGTAATACAAAATGACTGAAAATTGCAAATTTCGCAAGGCTATATTATCCGCATTTTACAACATTTCGCAACGAAACTTTGGAATATTACTAATTTTGTGATGCTCTTTCAAGCTGTGATAAAATATTTGTCAAGATTAAAATTTATTCTATAATGCAATTGGTCCATTAGCGTTTCTCACGCCGCCATTTTTGGGTGGTTTTCATTAATAATTCATAAAGAAAACAGGAAAGCCTTAAGCTTGTGTTTGTACATCCGATGTAACCATACATATCTTATATACACTAGATATAGCCAGGGGCGCACATTCAAAAAAAATTTGGGGGGGTGTCCTATTTTCCGGGACCGACTTTTGTAGTATTTGTGTTTGATAAGAAAAGCCAACTATTTTAAGGTGTGCAAAGTACTCGTGAACGGTGAACCGGTGAAAGTTCGGTTTAATTAATGTTACAGTCTTGTTATAAATACAATTAATATAAAATTTAAGAGTTGCATGGACGTATGGTACAGGGCCGTAGGAAACTCTTTTCGATTTGGGAGGGGGGGGGAGAGGCTGAAAGCGAGGGCCGAGGCCCGAGGAAATTTTTAAATTTAGAGTCCCTGCAATGCCATTTCCTGGACTTTGGGGAAGATTTAACAGAATTCTGATAGTCAGAAAAAAGCGTTTTAGCATGTCGAAATTTACAATTTATAGTAGTACTAAATGGCCGAAAGCGTATTTAATTAACTATTATATGTTGAATAAGTTGCAGGAAAGTGTGGGTAATACCATGGATTGTAAAATAACATGTAGTTTATTATCCATGGTAATATCTTCATTCTTTGCAGTTTGTCACAGATTAAATGATAAAGGTCTGCATGACATG